GCTACATGACAGATAAACTTCACAATTTCGAACACGATTTACATGGTGAAAATCAAATTGTTATTGCGGTTATAGACGGCAGACTTGCATCTTAAAAGCAACTACGTATTTATAATTAGAAATCCTGCATAACAAAAGCTAAAATGATGATATTCCTATAGTCTCCAGAAAACTAGGTAATCATTTGAGATTATTATTTATCTACCTTATCAAAGTGCAGATTTCAAGAATTTTTTTTTAAGGTCTTTTGCTTGTAGAAAATTCTGGAATGCAAAAACAGCGGTTACTACAAAACTAGATGCTTTGGGTGAGGATTATGCAATGTTATTTGACGAATTCATCGTGCTTAAAAGCAATACGAATTTGGATGCCATTTTTAAAGAAAATGTGAAGAGGAGTAATTTTGAAAGTTAACGTGAAACAAATACAAGATTGTGTAGAAGTCTGTACAAAGGTTGCTTACATCAACATACTCACGGGAATCAAAATTGAAATAAATATGTTAAGAGCTTACACAGAAACAGACGCAGAAAAGTCAAAAATCACATTAATTTTTAATACACGTCTAGATACACATAGCTAATATATGCATATGACCAGAAGTAATAATAAAACTTAATATTTGAAATAGAAGTTCTGTGTTCATGTAATGTTAACGATCGTATGAAATAAGCATCATTTAAAATATGGAGCAAAAAGTTTCGAAGTTTTTCGAATGCCCGAAATTAATATAGTATTTATAATTATTTAGGCTACACGAGCCCATATTTATCTCTCTGTCTAGATAAAGAGCATAGTATAAGACAATAGACCGGTAGTTATTTTTCGTACAGTCACCATTTTACTGTTCAGTTCTTATTTATTAATATAAGTTTACCTAACAATCTTTTGCGAAAGAATCCTTATATCACTCACTATGAAAAGACAGATTGTATTTTGGATAGTTTGCCTTGCCAATTTATTTGTCATTGATGGTAGGTAACCCACCTATAATCAGCGCAGGATTACAGAATCAGAATCCCTATGCTCTTTACTTTTAAGCTCTCTCTCTAAACTTAGATTCTCACTTTTTATTTAAACTAACTTAATTTGCTTTTTCTAATGCAGGGAAGAAAACAGCAGAAGTGCAAGGAAGATTCAGCATAAGAAATAACATAATTGTAGAGTTCCTCACTTTGGAATTCTATTCTAAGTTAATGTTGGAAGTGAAGAATCTAAGAACTGATAAGCGAATAATCGCTTGCTTTCGGTGACAAGAAACAACAAGATAGAAGGGTAACTAACCCTTTATTATTCCAATAAGATTTAACAAAACTCCCCTTAGGAGTGTACAAGCAAAGCCCGCACTTGGGCTTGAACTTAAAAGACTAAGAATTAAACTAAAACTAAGATTAACTAAAGAAGTATAGCCGAAACTATCAAGGTTCAAATCAAGTTGGCCCCCTTATTTGACTACGAAGCTTAGCAAGGGCCCGAGTACGGCCGAGCGTAATAACAGCTTTGAGAGAGAGAGTGGCCAAAAAGGCAGACGCGCGTGAATCAGAAACTCTGATTCTCTCTGCCTCCGTAAGTAACTTCGTGGTTTAATACCGCTCCTTCTCATTAAATATTCAGCAAGATTCCAAAACTACGTTCTGGCCGGAAGTAGTAAGTTGAAGTTAAGAATTTGACAGGAAAGGAACTTTAACTTAAAATTTAACTGTTCATAAAATTAACATAATCCTTACATGATGATTAAGATAAAAGAAAATTATAAAGAATTTCTCTTGGAACGTTACAGCTAAATTTTTAAGGTTTTTATTATTGTATTTCAACTAGCTATTAAAATAATTTTTTCGTCCACGAAATTCATTTTTAATTAATTTCACGTCTATGAAAATTTTACTTGCGAAAATCATGGAGAAATGAAGCAGTTTTTGATGAAAATTTCAATACACAAGTATAAATTAGAATTTTAAATGCTGAACTGTAAAAACTCATCCTCAAATGTTTCAAAAACCAGATGCTGGAACCTTACGACGCACATTTCTCCAGCCGACGAAAGAGATACAGTACGCCGATAAAAAAACTAAATAAATATGTTAATACAGAGAAAGAATAAATGCATCATAATCTCATAAGATTAAAAACTCAGCGCTCTTCTACACGTGGTGACCACTCAGAGCGATGAAATGAGACCGCGCGACGAAATCACCCGAAAACTGGCTTGCAATTAATTTTGCCGATGAAACCGGTTTGATGTTCTGCTGGCAACCAGAAATTATGTCGTTACGGTTCATAACGGAATGAAGATAAATAGAGGATGAAAGGGGAAAAAAAGATAACGGAGCTCCTCGTTTTGACAGGACACTCTCTCCCTTCTTTCTGTTGGATTTCCTTTTACGCGCCGACTGCAATCAATTATTTACATGCATAGAATATTGAAATCTGGTTTAAAATGAATGAACATCTAAATCTGGCTTACTAAATATCTAAATAACTTAGACAGTCCAATGGCTTCAGAATTTTGGGGGTTGCAATTGCACTTACTAAAAACATGTATCAAGAAACCTTGCAAGTGCTAGACTCTGCTTTCGAAACTTTGAGAATATGAATAGCATTTTACCAAACTACGACCAAGAAACTCTACAAGTGCAAGGAATGCCTCAAGATTTTATCCCAAAACCAGTTACAGGATAAAGCAGAAAACGCGATACAGAATGTAGTTTATATTTTACTGCTATACGCTACTTTCAGGAATATACATACGACTATCATTCGGAAGGCTTTTTAAAATCTTTACTAAAGCAATAATACCTGACTTTCGTACTAATAATAATTCAATCATACAAATCTTCGGGACCTTTAAAGGAGGATTCAGGAGAAATAATGATAAAACGGAAGGTATATTTTCATTCTTTTTCCGTGGAAAGCAGGATATCTTCACAATGGCGCCAATACCTTTATGCGAATCGACTTGTGTTCGCTCTCATAAATATCCCAATATAAATAGTCTATCCCCATACGATAGTTTTTAACTTGGCGAAAACAATTAAAAAACAAAATCCGCACCTTTAATCCAGATCACCGCTATGAGAGTTGGATTCTTTTTCCATGGAAAAGAAGCTATCTTTCCAAACGGCACAGGCATCTTTATCATGATACACTATTACGTAATAAAAACTGGAACCGTGGAAAAAAATTTTACATATAATTCCGTTTGTAAACCTCTACCTGGTCTGAGCTGGCGTTCTTTCGGATTCATGGCAGATACCCAATAAAACTATAGCTGTCTGTAATAAACTTTGCTGCACTTACTTTTACTGCAATAAACTGGCGGTGCAGTATAACAGGCAATCTATACATTCCATTACACCGATGCATTTTACATTCCCTGGCAACAATACTCTGGTATTTTATTTTATCTTTATTTTCAACTTTCTTTATTCCCGTTGTTTTCTAGCCTCTCTGAAGTCACTGCACCTCGGACGCATTTGTGTGATTAAATCCTTTACCTTTCACCACATTTGTTTGTTAGCATCGACTCTTCCATGTTTTCTTCATTTATAATGTTAAAACATTGACCTTCAGAAATGATATGAACAAGATCCAGTGCTCTTATCCCTTCAGCAGAAAACCCTTTTAACTAACAATATTTAATTAAAGAATTACCGCATTCCCCGTGCGCTCTCTCGCGGAACAACTGGTTAGCAATCGGCTAGCAGTTAGAAGATCCGTGATTCCAATGACAACGAGTGCACAGTTGAATTTTCACATTTTTTTGTCCAAAATGCCTAATAATCTCTACATTGGCATCCGAAATAAAACGTGTGGACACCACCTGGATTTGTCGAATGAGTGTCATGGCGTTCCCCCTCGCCCTTTAAGATGGGGAGAACACTAATTTTATTACAGGAAAGAAATGAACCAATCAAATTCTAGTAACGTATTGCTTATTTTAGTATATCAATATTATTTTAATTGGATGTTGTTTTTATACATTATACTGTAAAAAGTTTCTTCATTAAGAGCATTAAAAAACTTTGACATCAAAAAGCAAGCGGGATAAATTCGCGAAATGTTTCCCAGCCTAGGACATACTAAAACATTTTAGAGAAAAATTTGACAGTCCATGATTTCGGGAAGGAAAATATCTACCAGTAATGAAACACTGATATAAATATTAATAAGTACATAACTAAATTAACATCATATTAAGTTTTTTACCAGAAACCATTTATAAACCAATAAAATTCTGGTAACGTATTGCTTATTTTTGTATATCAATATTATTTTAATTGGATGTTGTTTTTATACATTATACTCTAAAAAGTTTCTTCATTAAGAAGCATTAAAAAACTTTGACATCAAAATTTTTAGTTGGGGTATTAACGGGCAACGGAGGATGACTTCATGTATAATTTCGAGAAACAATCCCCCCCCCCCCCCCCCCGTGCTCCGAAATTCCAGCAAATCTCAGTGTAATTCAAGGTTCGGGCCTGGATTTAAACTAGGCAAGAGAAGCAATCAGAGTTTCGCGTATATTTTTGAGCAAAACTGTTTCAGGTTTAAGACAATGAGAAAAGTCTGGCGTGTTTTTCTTCCTATTCTGACTTGGGTTGACTAGGATTGTTTTGCAGTGTATTTTTGCGGAAATTCTGACAGATAGTAGCACAAAAACCATATAAATAAAAAAAATAATCTAACAATTGTAATATGAATTAAAAAATTGGAAGTAAAATCCGAAATTCGGGGAAAAATTCTCTTATTTGAAAAATGCGCTAACATATCGCGCCGCGATAAAGTTACTACCCTAAACATTACTAGCACAAAATTCTACACTTTTCATTGAAAAGTATTATTTGTTACACACGACCTACTTCTTATTCTCAAACTCAGAATAGCTCGCACTTATCAGTTCTAATTACGAGATAGCGTTTAGGCCTGGGAGCTGCTTACCAGGAATTTTCGATAACAACGAGCAAAGGCGAACGATAGCTGCAAGATGGTGGTACACTTACCCGTGAATGGATTCCAGGCTCAGACTGATTCGTTCGTCGCGGGAGTAGATGAACCGCTGTTCTGCACCTTCACCCCTCTCCTCCGACGAACAACCAGAAGCTATGAAAGATAGATTTCCTCACTTTAGAATAGTGATACTTAAAAAGAATGCTCTAAATTTATTAAATTGTTACTACTTTAGGAAAAACACATAATACAATCTCATAGTTGGCTATCTTGAAAAATGAAAAATCTAGCAGTTTTTTGGGTACAGCCCTTCTCAGAATGATTCTTGTGATAAACCTGACGTAAAGTTAATTTATATAACATATTCGGGTTATTAAATTAATTACAATATCATTTTGAAGTAATATATATTAATTTATTACTTCATTTATTATTTTTATTTAAATTTAATTGAAGTGGTATTAAATGCAATGAAAATAAAAGTTAACAATTTATGCGTATATAATCAATCACATAGATAAATTTAGTAATGCATCATTTATAAATTTAAAAACAAAAACTAAATAAAAATATTTAATTATTAATTTAATATTAGATAAATCTTTTAAATGCTCTTCAAGTTTGTATAATGGATTAACATATTATTTAGGTCGAAAAACAAAATTAATCATAAAAATTACATTACAGATCTTTAGGGAAAGAAATGAATTTGCTCAATTTCATTTTCAAAAGGCGAATAATTCACTCTCTTAGCTTATTTTACGAATTTGCCACCTAATTTTTTTCAGTAGCATCCCCCCCGGGGGAACTAGTAATCAGCAGTTCCTCTACAATTTCATCTGAAGAAGATTGTAAGTTCAGATGAATTAAAAAACCGGGAAATCTGTTGATATGATGAAACGTCGGGAGTCTTCCGGTTTTACCAGGAAGACTGGCATTTCTGCAGAACTGATACCAAAGACAGTGCAACCGATGCAACTACACCAAACAGCAGAAGTTAAACGCAGCAAAATGTTATAAGAACCAGCTCTTCAGTTTTGCAATCTGAAGTACTTTAATATCAACAGATGGTCTTGATGTTGAAGAAACTATACAGGCACTGACGAAAATAATTTTGAATTTAAGACAGTGCAACCTGATGCAACTGCACCAAACAGCAAGTTAAAGGCAGCAAAATTTTATAAGAACCAGCTCTTCAGTTTTGCAATCTGAAGTACTTTAATATCAACAGATGGTCTTGATGTTGAAGAAAAAAACTATACAGCACTGACGAAAATAATTTTGAATTTAAGACAGTGCAACCGATGCAACTGCACCAAACAGCAGAAGTTAAAGGCAGCAAAATTTTATAAGAACCAGCTCTTCAGTTTTGCAATCTGAAGTACTTTAATATCAACAGATGGTCTTGATGTTGAAAAACTATACAGGCACTTACGAAAATAATTTTGAATTTAAGACAGTGCAACCGACGCAACTGCACCAAACAGCAGAAGTTAAAGGCAGCAAAATTTTATAAGAACCAGCTCTTCAGTTTTGCAATCTGAAGTACTTTAATATCAACAGATGGTCTTGATGTTGAAGAAACTATACAGGCACTGACGAAAATAATTTTGAATTTAAGACAGTGCAACCGATGCAACTGCACCAAACAGCAGAAGTTAAAGGCAGCAAAATTTTATAAGAACCAGCTCTTCAGTTTTGCAATCTGAAGTACTTTAATATCAACAGATGGTCTTGATGTTGAAGAACTATACAGGCACTGACGAAAATAATTTTGAATTTAAGACAGTGCAACCGACGCAACTGCACCAAACAGCAGAAGTTAAAGGCAGCAAAATTTTATAAGAACCAGCTCTTCAGTTTTGCAATCTGAAGTACTTTAATATCAACAGATGGTCTTGATGTTGAAGAAACTATACAGGCACTGACGAAAATAATTTTGAATTTAAGACAGTGCAACCGATGCAACTGCACCAAACAGCAGAAGTTAAAGGCAGCAAAATTTTATAAGAACCAGCTCTTCAGTTTTGCAATCTGAAGTACTTTAATATCAACAGATGGTCTTGATGTTGAAGAAACTATACAGGTACTGACGAAAATAATTTTGAATTTAAGACAGTGCAACCGATGCAACTGCCCCAAACAGCAGAAGTTAAAGGCAGCAAAATTTTATAAGAACCAGCTCTTCAGTTTTGGAATCTGAAGTACTTTAATATCAACAGATGGTCTTGATGTTGAAGAAACTATACGGGCACTTACGAAAATAATTTTGAATTTAAGACAGTGCAACCGACGCAACTGCACCAAACAGCAGAAGTTAAAGGCAGCAAAATTTTATAAGAACCAGCTCTTCAGTTTTGCAATCTGAAGTACTTTAATATCAACAGATGGTCTTGATGTTGAAGAAACTATACAGACACTGACGAAAATAATTTTGAATTTTTTACAGTTAGTTATCCATGGCAATAGGACAAGATCGAAAGAAATAAGTTAATATATAAAGTTATATAATTAGCGATATAAAAAGTTAATTAGTTATATAACTAGCTAGTTGGTTATAAAATTAACGATATAAAAATAATGTTTTTCCCCCTATTGCCTAAAAATATTTATATATAAAAGTCTGAGAAATATACTTCACTTTGGTATTTTTTAATTAAAACATTGACAGAGAGTTCAACAACACGAGGAGTACATTGAAATTCCGAAGGTATGAAGACACGATGCATACCAGTGGCAAAAAATATTCTTTACATTCTATAAAGATAAAAAAATATTTTTCTTCCTTTAAAAATGTTAATATACTTTGTCTCGCAGTTTACTGAATTGTAGCCCGATTTTACTTTTTCCAAGCAATTTTTATTTTATTCACGAATAATAAAAACAAATCAGGCATGTCTTTAAAAATTCAACACATGAACAAAAATGAGGATAAAAACTGTTTTATCGTCACCCAACCAATGTAAATGTAAAACGTAATCAGTTAATTTCCATTTAGATCACACGAGAAAAACATTACGCTAAAAACTACTATGAATCAGGTTTATGACAGAGTGCATGTTACGCAACACCATATCGCATTCTAATCATACAACACAGGCAATTTGAATGCATCAGAAAAGTAAACTTACCAGCTTCAGGATATTTCGCGTAGAATTCTCTCCTCCTTTGCATTTCATCTGGAAAGGAGGAAAAAAAAAATTTGAAGTAATCAGTCTAACTTATCGGAGAGGAATCACTTCCTCCCTTTCTTAACACTGAAACGAACCATTAAAAAAGTAAATTGCCGTCTAAAATAATGAAAAGAGAACAATAAAGATTTACGACGAAAAGACAAAGATGTGGCTTTTGAAATCCTCTTTTCTGAAACAATGGGCATGCACAGAGAATTGGAGAAACCTTTCCCCTTGTTATTGGTCCTTATTTTCACCCACCAACAGTTTTAGGGCTGGCAGTATGCTTGTTAGCAAGCGATGTTAAAGGTTGCATTTTCTTTCACATTTTTCAAGGTTCGTTAATTTTCGTTCGTCAAAAAGATCTTAACAAGAGTTGGAAATCATAATGCAGTACACTGAATATTAGCACAATATTGCGTGTCTTGCCTACTGCGTAAACTTTGAATATCACTGCTTTTTCACTTAATTATGTACGTACAACAATGCATACACTTTTATTTGGGACTGCTAAATTTTATCCAGAAACTAGAAATGAGGCACTAAAGGCTGATGTCCGGTGATGCAGGTCCACTGAAAACTGCGTCCCCTCTTTCTTTTAAATGAATCTTTGTTTTTCTTCTGAACATCAATAAAACTAAACTTTCCAAAAGCAAAGTTAAACTGATTAATGCTTTCTGGGTTAGTATTCGAAATTAGAAAATCTGGGTTTCTGAATGTTTCATTCCTAGAAATAATGACTCCCCCCCCATTTCGTACATAAAGTGCATATAACTTTGAAATACTATATATATTTCAAATTTTTTCTTTTAACATTCATTTTATTGAGATATATGTAAGGGTATCCACCCCTCAAAAAAAAAAATAATGGTTTCCCTCAGCCGACTAGTTTGAAGACCACTGCCCATAAATTAACCATTCGTTGCCTTCAATAAAAAGATTTCTAAATAGACGGTCTGACAAGGATAAGTTTCTCCTGTTTTCAAAAAGTCCGGAAACTATACTAATTAATTTTTTATCAAAGAAAAACAAATCCCCCCCCCCTGAATTTAAATTTGCAATCGTCAACACTTGAAGGAAATAACAGCAGAAGATACAACAATATCAGCGAACACGGTTCAGCGTAATCTGGAAGAAGCTCGAGTTTGTTTTGATTGTTTGCGGTATTAAGAATGGCGTACGCATTCAGATTTACTATTAATACTTGAATCTGAAAAAGAGTTCATCACGTTCGACGACTTTGGATATTTTAAATACAGTTTAGCTACTTCTCCAATCTGACTGAGAAGTGTTATGTTATAGATATGTTAAAGAACAGTCAAAATGATTCGTGAATCAATGTTTATGAACCAGGTATTAAATTTCGATTCCGATATCTGGCTTTTAAGTCTTCAAACTAGTGCAATCAATAATTTTTAGAAACAAAAAATTAAGAAACAGCATAATTCAATAACTTTGCATAGATATTAATTTTAATGAAAATTATTTATTTACCAAAAATGCTTTATAAACAGCTAAATATTTAATTTTTATCTAAAAAATACAGTGTTTATTTGCTTAATTATTATTATTATTTAAAACATACATTTTCTGGTTAATTACAAATAATTTGCTTCTTAACAAAATTGACAAATAAAAATATTATTCCATAAATATTTGAAACACGAAATGTTCCTCATACACCATTACCACGCAGAAGATTAATAAATAAATAAAAATTAGAAGGATATTAATTAACGAAATTCACTTACTTTGATATAGTCCAGGTATCAATTTATATACAATATCTTGTAATGTTTTATCAGACCTGTAAGGGAAGGAAAGTTTCAACCTAAAGATCTTAAGGAAAACAACAATTTTCTTATATTTTCGTACAGGAGGGTGCTTAAAATAAATATAAATTGAAGAATTTACCTTATACTAAGCAAGGGTTTCGTTTTATGGACTTGTACATCGCACACAGGACAGTATTTGCTATTCTCCAAATAACGAACAATACACGTCCTGCAAACTGTGGATGAAAAAAAAAATAACATTATTATTATTTTCAGTGACTCAAAATACAAAAATTAAATACAGTTTTTTTTTTTTTTAAATGTATAAAAGGCAGCATTAAAGAACAGTAAAATCTGTTAATCAAACCTAAACCGATCTATAATAATACACTCAAATGTTAAAGAAGGGGGGGGAAGAAAAAGGACCGAATCAGATTATTAAAAAAGAGAAGATCAATATGTTACAAAATATTGAAAAATTAAATTATTGAAAATTTTCATTCTGAATTTATAAGAGACAGTTTATCCTTTGTTAATAAGAACAGAGTTCTACTTATTGTAACTGCACGAAAAGATCATCGTAAATTCACAAATGATTCTCGAATTTTTATATTTACGAATAACAGTTACTCTCTGGAAAATCATTCGGAAAAAACCCTGAATGCGCAATAAACAACGGAGGCGAAGGGAGTCGTAAGAAGAAAGATTTAGTATTTTTCTATGAAGTAGGTGATAAATAGACTTTTAAGGATGGGGAAATAATCATCGAGAATTCTGATGGAAGGTGGTTGAATGGTACCGAACATTTTTCACCTCCAACGGAGAAATGATGGTGGTCGGAAATTGCTTGATGGTGGAAGATGAATGATTGGGCAATTTTTCATTTCGAATAGAAAGGGGATGACAGTGATCAGCAAATCGAAGAGCAGAAGGGATAAAAGTTCGAACGGCATACTTACAGGAATGCAGGCATTCGACGATGGTCGTGGCGTCGATGAGATAGCCGTCGCAAAGCACGCAGATGAAGTGCGGATTTATGTCAGTCACTTTCAGACGCGGCATGGCTACCTAGCCTGGTGGCTCTGAAAAGAGATATAATATTAAATTACATAAATTGAAAGCTAATAAATATCCCATACATTTTAAATAAGATCATTATTTAGGTTAAAATTCCACGCCGAACAAATATTAATTTAGAAGTCAAACAACAAAAATCAGCGTTATATTTGCAGATTTTCACAGGACTAGTTTTGATTGTTTTACCGAACCATCCTCCTCTCAGCTGCAAAACCATCGAAACTAGTCCTGTGAAATTTTTTGTTGTTTGACTTCTAAATTAACAAGATCATTATTCTTGATTAGGCAAGGTCTGTTAACGAAATTATGTCATTCCATTTTGAAGGGGGGGAGGAAACCAACTTCGAATTACGAACTAAATACTAAAAGATATCTTCGGATACTACTATAGTGTATTCATTAATGAGCACTGCCGAAGTCCATTAACGACGGTTCGACTGTTATCAGCAACTATCAGCACAGAAAACAAGTGCTGAAAGAGGCATACAGGGATTTAAAATCAGGAGTAAATAATAACTACTGTTTACGCTAGCCTATCAGTTATCGAAAGAACTCGGTTTCTTCTAAAAATATTGTACGCTACAAAACAATTAAATTTATTTTGCATATTATTAAAGTTACTTCTTCACCGTGTATTAAAGTATAGCAGCTATTCCTTACCCGTACTTGAAATGCACTATTAGTACAATTTCCCTCGTACAAAATTCGGCCAGAAAAATTTACATGTACGAGAGAAAAACATTCCTACAAGAATTTATTTCGTATTCAGATTATATGCGACAAAAGTTTTATGATATATGATGATTCGGAACATTATGTTCTGTGATGTTATAAGCTTTCAATTGGACCTTTAAAATATAACGTTTAAAGAAATTATTTGAAAATATGCCATATCAGCCACGCTAAGGAAAAGCAAATATGCTCGATATTTACTTATCTTGATATAACAATCAAGGTCATACATTTTTACTTTTTTGTACGAAATAAAGGAAGTATTATAATCGCCAAAAATTTCGCGTATCATGTTTCAACGAAAATATCCATTTTGACAGTTCTCGACTCCATGGGATTTTTTTTTATGACATCTATACGTACGGACAGAATAACGGATTTTTTTTTTCCCAAACGGGTTACAAAATGGATTTAAAATGGATTCAGAAGGTATTTATTTTTTTCGCGACGTCTGTACGTACGTATGTATCTCGCAAAACTCAAAAACGGTCAGCCGAAGAAATTTTGTATATGCAACAGCTAGTTGTGCACCTCCTTTTTTGTTGCAATCAGCCGCACCAAAAGTATATAAGTATTCTATATATATATCCACGGTCATAAGCGGCTCGGTGAGCTCTGTTACTTCATTCTTATATGCTGGTAAATTGTGTATTTTTTGTTTTAAAAGCGATTTCATCATGTTGTTCTTACGTTCCGGTTAAAGTTTTTATGCCTTTATTATAAATCGGCATGCAATAATGGTAGAATTATCAACAATTTAAAAGTGTAAGTCGCCCTAGGCCTAACGTGGCGGCTACTTGTTTACCTTTGAGGGTAGTGGAGTGAATTAAATCAGCTGGTGCACCAAATTCAATGTGTTTCTGTCCAGCGAGCCGTAAGGTTAATTTTAAATTTTTGTGCATCGAAATTTTTTCCTTTCTGCCCGTGAGCCGAACTGCTTGTTTTTGTGTCTACCGATTTTAAATGTAAATTTAAAAAAAAGTTTTTAACTGTATTTGGTGTTTTAAGATTTTCTGTATTTTACAAGATTTTTTGAGTTTTTATGTTTTTTTGGCCTTGCCGCGAGAACCGAATTGACTGAATTCGAGGAAGTAAGTTTAAATGAAGTGCAGTAAAAATGTATATAATTTAATAAGCCATCAAGGAAGTCATGTGGCGACCACATCAGATTTTTGTTAAAACGACAGATGTTCAAAACAGATTAACTTTACCCACATTTAATAACTATCTTACAATGCTGATGGCATGATTCAAAAATCGCATACAGTAACACTCTGTTACTAAATTTTCCTGAAATATGTCCATTTGAAAGATTTTATATGAAATAAATATAAAATCTTTCTTGAAATGGCAGAAACTTTTATTTTATTTCATATTAATTTAAACACACATTTTTACAAAGATTTAAGAGCCCGAAGTTGATGTCTAAAAGTATTACAGACTACTCCAGCTTTAAACAGAGAACGGTTTATTTGAATATTTTGGGTGATTGAACCTTTCTATTTGTTATTTTAATTGCTCGGGAGCAAGATTAGTACCGCAACTTCAGTTTCAGATTTGGCAACATTTTCTTTTCCTGTTGTTTGTGTTTGCATTATATATTAAAACTACTTTTTTAAAAACTTGATATTTTTTCAACCTTCCTATCACGAGGGGAAAAAAAAATTTTAACTTAAAATATTATTATAGTAATTTTATGAAACTTTTCGCAAATATTCTATGAAACATTGTGAATTAAATGGACTAAAAGTTTGGGTTTATGAACATATCTAAAAATTTTTTCAGGCAATTTTGTAAATGAAAAGAGAGAAATTTCTCGAAAAATAGCTAGTTCATGTACTCAAACAGATATATTTAACAGACATTATTTTACTTTATCACTTAGATTTTAGTCCATTAACTTCCTCATATCTTAATATACGTGATAAAAATAAAAGTAAAATGTTGATAAATATTTTTGCGGGAACATATCTAGTAATCCTGAAATTTTACATATTTTAAACGCCAAATGTAAAAAAAAAAAAAAAAAAAAAAACCTGATATTTTGATATTGTTTAAGAACCTGTTTCTATGATTCTATCTTTAAATAGTATTCTGCTAAATAACGCCAATGGTAGATTTATTTGTTCTATTTTCCGAAATTTGGGTGATTAAAGTAGTCGGATATCGGATAAGTTAAAATGTCAAAGTATTAAAATGTTTCTGTTAAAAAAATTCCTTTTTTTAAATTATAATATGTTCTACAAAATAAAAAAAGGTTTGAAAAATGGATATGCAATGCTATGACATTAAAAAACATTTCCCCCTTTAAGTCCAAAGGCATAGAGCTGTAACAGGTCTATGTCCAAAGGGGCTTTGTCCCTGAAGGACTATTGTTTTCGTTTTGCGATTTTGCGTTGAATTACTATAAATGTCCGTTTCATTTTTCAAATTGTTGCCACGAGATGTTACAATGATGTTAGATGATAAATTTTGAACGACGTAATCCTACTGAGAATATGGGCATGTAGAAGCCCAAATTTGAAATTTGGAATTTGTTTTATTATCGATTTCATATTTTGTAAAACTTTAAGGAATTTTTTAGTAGCAAATTCAACGACTTGAAAGCGAGCAATGGCAACACTCTACGGGGGGGGGATTATCTCCAGCGCGCGGAACTATACATCCGGAAGTTCTAAAGGATATGCTCATTTTAAAATTGTTTTGCGATATTGCTGTTAAATTGAATTTTATGGTTTAAGTGCAAAAAAAAAAAATTAATCAATAAAGGTAACACACAAAAAGTTTAAAAAATGACCCTTTGGACGTAATGTATCTGAAAGATTTCAGATTTTTTCCCCTCTTTTTTCCCCAGATTTTGCATTATGCCCAAAGGGGCGTTTTTTGAACGTAACCTTTATTTATTAAATAGTATCGCAACGTTCTTCACAATTAAACCATAAAATTCAGTTCAACAACAATATATCGCAAAATAATTTTAAATGAGCATATCTTAAGAAGTTTGAATACACAGTCTGGCGCGCTGGAGATAAAAGTGTTTCTTCTTCTTCTTTTTTTTTTTTTTTTCCCCGTACATTGTTGCCATTCCTCGCTTTGAAATCTAATCTTTAAGTTTCTTAATCAAAAAATTCTTTAATGTCTGACAGAATATAAAATAGGTAATAAAACAAATTCCAAATTAGGGCTTCCAGATGCCCATATTCGCTGGAGGATTACGTTATTCAAAATTGGATGGCTTTAGGTATCATTGTTTTATTACAGTGCGAGAAACATACATACATTTATGTAGATCCTTTATTATTTAATTTCTTTAAATATAATACAGGGCTGTAATATTTGCTGGCAGCAGTTTGAAAAGTGAATCAACGCAGAAAGTGAATAGACACAAAATGCGAAAACGAAATCAATAGTCCTACTAGGCTATTGATTTCGTTTAGCCATACATTACGTATCATGGTACAGAAAAATCGTTTGCGCAATAGTTAACAATAAGCCCTTACTAGCGCAAGTTTTCTGAAACACAGTGTACAGAGAGAGAACCAGAGAAATATATGAAAAAGGAGAATTTTCTTACGTTCACTAAATTATTTCTAACAATAACTAAATGAAAATTAGGTGATACATGTATTTTCCTCCATCTGGCATGTGGGACTGAGATTACAGTGGGAGGACTGAGGAAAAGACGCTCTTCCGCAAGTGATAAAAAAAGTGTTCACAATAATGCACTATAGTTAAACTCAGCGTAAAATATTATCTGGAAACATCAAATATATTTTATCAAGCAATACATAGTTTTAGAACAGGAGGGATTTCACAGTTCCGGGGGGAGGGGGATGCGATCAAATTTTTATTTAGCTGTTCAGTAATTAGTTTTATTTTATGAATATATATAAAAAAATGCTTTTATTCGAATTTTGGTATTTATCAAAATTTTCTATACTTTTTGTTCTTTAATTAATAAAACACGTTAAAAATAAATACACATGTATTTTTTACGTTTTGGAAAGCCGGGGGGGCAATGACCTTCCAGCAGTGGTGGGGGGAGCATGGGACAAAGAAGTATTTTGATCTAGTCTCTGTGAATGACAAGTATAAATTCCACTTTTGATTACGTCAGAGCTCTCGAGCACTGCCTGCTTTAATAAAGGTTAAATGAGTCCTCATCGAGGAGTTTCTTACGTAATCTGCGAAAAACATTTAGAGCTGCGATTTTAGCGTTTTTGTGAATTGGGTTAGGTTCAGTTATTTATTAGGGTAAAGTACTGCAAGATTA